AGTCATCGTGTTTGGCGAATCAACTTTTACCAAATTCTCCACTGACATAAGTTATCGTGGTCCATCACAAGAACGTTACCAGGCACCTACTAACTTGCGAGTGGTAATGGAGCACGCATATCCCTGGTTCACACTATCAACCAACACAGCAGTCAATCAGGATTCCACTGCTAGTAGAGCGAAAAGATGCCTTGAGACGTGCCTGAACTGGTTCACAACGTAATTTAAGAAAATGTGTTATCGCGGCGTATTCAGATTCATGAAAAGATGAATTTTGGAATCTTCTTCACTAGAACAACAAAGCTTTTACAGGCCACTCATAAATGAGAAGCTAAACACCCGCAAAAATCACGAGAAATCCAGCGTCCAAATAAAAGGGATCGAGGACATCACGGTTGCTACAAAATATATGCAGCCATTGAAGAAAATCTTTTTACTTCAGCATTTGTAGTGAACAACGTTTATTCAGGATAACTCCCAATAAGGACATATTCCAGACGAATAGTGCACTACTATATGTATGAGAACATCTAAACTCGTAAACCACTCAGATGAGAATATACAACTAGATAAATCAAATAGCTGTAACTTTATGCCACGTCTAAAATGCGCCGAACTTCGAATAAAAGTAGAAAAAAAGGGGGGACGGCGCATGTGTCGATGTGCAGCTGAAGGGTGAAATCTCAAGAGTCGAACACCACCACAGCTAAAAGGTAAAGCACAAACACTGTTGCAGCGGCTCGACAAGTATTCAGTCATGTTTGATGCTACAAGGGAACAGTGGCACTAGCTGTAGCACCGAGCAATGTCGAGCAAAAGCAAACGCAATGCACTGGCAAAAAGCAAAGAAAATCGAAAATAATGCAGAACTCAAAACATTCCGAAGAAGCCATGAAGACACGTGGGATCGGCCTTTGGAGCACAAGATAAAGGGAATAAGGCGTAAGATTAACCGAAGTGATTCACATATTAAGAACAAGTAACGAGATGCAACCTTTCACTAAGAAAATCACCTAAGGTCAGCAACAAGTGCATGATCATTTCGGGGATAAAAATGGACAATCATGAAAAGACGGTCAAAATTAGAAAATAATGCAACATGTATACTTCACCGGATTCTGGACATTGCCGTTCGGTGATATCATGAGAAAGCAAGCCAGAAACGTGGACAATAAAAGAGTATATTGACCTTCAAAAAAGAAAAAAGAATGAAAGTTTCTGACGACGGAGCAGTGGAAACGAGAAATTCAACGGTGGAACCAAGGGAAGGTTTGACTTCAATTTCACAGATTATGTCACGCGCACAACCTGATTTAGCAGCTCTGAAAGGATGCGAGCTGCATCCTGAGCAGGCACCTGAAATAATTCCCAATTTGAAAAAAAGTGATTATAAATTCATAAGTTGAGGCAAACTTCGCTTCGAAAAGGATCCAAACAGGATAAATAGGACTTTGCCACATTAACATAAACACAACAACTTTGAGAAAAACAAAAAGGATTGGAGGTTAACATTACTTAATGTTGGTGGCTGAGATAAATTTACAAAAGACATCCACGAAATTTCGTGAAATAAAAGTATTTCTCGAAGTACGACTACCATCAAATTTTCACTGTAAAAGCTTGCAGCAAGAAATAGATGTCATAGAATTAAGGATAAAAATCTAGCGGTCTGCACGGAACCTGATGACTCTCCTCAGCGCATGGACAACAGACATTACTAGGTACTTCTTAAATTGTCTTCGAACATGTCACTCTTATGTCCTATTAAAGCTATCAAAAAAGTCGATGTTCACCGGCGACGAAACGAATTCACTTCAGAATTTTGTTGAAAGTTTGTTATGATATACACCGTAAACTTTGAAAGCAGCAAGCTAACAAAAGTCCCTGTTATCGGACTGAGATTGTACGAATGGAGTATACCGCCCAATCGATCAATATGGATTATAACATATGCATCATCAACTCACAATTAGAGGTGTAGTTTGGCAAGCAGCATCACGCATAACTGGAGAGTCTGTTCCAGTCGCAACTGAGACCATTTCTGGAGGTTCCGTAGTCGAGACAGCCATATGACGTAAATTCGGTACAAGCGAAGTTCCATTCGTCTCACCATTTGTCTTTGCATGATTGTACATCTTCAACAATGACTATAAGTAATCATATCGAGCTGCAATGCTCTACTTGCCTCTTGTTCACTATCTGGTGTGTGGGAAAGGCTGCTTCCGGCATCCAAAGGCTCAGAAGGTGGTAAACTATGTGTCATGGGAGGTTGTTGGGGCGCTTGAGGAGGGGGCATTCCAGGCAAAAAATGAGCAAATCTGGAAAAAAATGCTCTTCAAACGATCCTCATCATGTGACACCAGGTTTTAGCTTCAATGGCGAACAGAATAAGTTAAGGATTATGATGCACACCTGCCGTGAACCGGTGGTGGAAACGGTGGAGGGAGACCAGGTGGCAGCATGCCAATCACAACAGGATTCAAACGAGGGCCTAATGGACCAACAAGGGATTCCATAGATACCACCGGAAGCACAAATGGAACCTAAAAGCATAGGTTAGATACGTAGAACCATGGCTCTGGTCATCTTCAATAATGAACGAAAAAAGAATAGGACCCTAGAAGTTTAAGCTTGAGAAATATAATATCAATAAAGGGAGGAAGTATTGATAACGAGATAAGATTAAAAGATCGTAGTACATGGGAACTGTGGATATTAGGAAAAATGATTAAAAATGTTTTTCATGAAAAACGAGAGGGTGTAGTTCTAAAGTTAGAAGCTGGAGTTGAAAGGGCCACAAAGGAAAAGGTGTAGTTCTAAAGGTAGAAGCTGGAGTTGAAAATGCCACAAAGTGTAAGAAGTAAGTGCTGAATTTGCCCTATAACTATTTCTTTCGAAGCAGTTGATGTGTCTAAGAACTTCGAAAGGCGTGCACCATTGCACAGAGTAATAGTTATTATGATTTAGAATTGAACTATAGAAGCATCTACGTCAAATAGCTCTGAGTAGTGAAAATCAAGAGAAAACAGAGAGTGCTACGATGAAACTTATGAAAGTTGCACAGTTGTCAGCTGGATTCTCCATACGAATTTGAGCAGAATGATATATGGATAATGGAGATTTCGTTGAGTAGGAGAGCCAAGATAACCCACAAGAGCCAAATGCCCCGTCGGCTTTGATCGTTCTCTGTCATCTCTCAGAATTGCACACTTCCTACGCAACCAAGCGTCTTTCACTGGGCATTTGGCTCTGGAGCCCTTTTCTCCGTTATTAGCAAATTAATGTAAACAAATCTATATCATATGAAGGTCGTGAAACGTACATTTGAACAGACAACTGCGCAACATTGTCTGAATGAACGAACTAAGAAAGACCTTGTTTCCTAGTTTCTCTGATTTCTAGGATTAGAGACTTAACTTCGTTTTTTCTCACTAAGTCGACAGAAAATCTTTACCTCTGTAAAGCTGACTGCGCAGATATTGATATCAACTTCATTTACTGTAAAATTATGAGAAAACAAAGACTCTGGGCCTTTCCTATACTGAAGGGGAGAACTGGTAGCGGTGCGATTTCAAATTTTGGATGATTACAAAACATCACATCCCTTTTTCACTAGGGAACACCTTTGAGAGAAGCAAAACGTGGCGGTGCTGAGGAAGCAATCGCTAAGTATGTGTGTTGACCTCAACGTCCATTGCGATTTCCACGAATTCGCTGAATTTTAGGAAACATTTTGATCAAACCCGGCCATCATTATCTCAGGAGAACTCAAGATCTTCAGTTTTGCACGGCATAGCCTATGAGCCTTTAATTAGAATTAAACAAAGGATCCTATGGTTAATGGCTATTCGATAAATGAAGAATGTAACATATTTTGCAAAAAAATGTTGAATTCTAGAAAGAAGAGATCAGTTTAGATGAATTAC